CTGTGACAACTTGCACCAGACTACTTGTATAATTTCAGTAAAAATATGCCTTCGTATTGTACAGGGTCAGAATGAGTCTTGCAGTTCTGTTTCCACTTGAATTTTCAAGCAATTTATATTACTTTCAGTACAAAATCATCGTTTTTGTTCAATAAACGTTCATTCGAGAGTAACTCAAAGTATTTTTGTTTTTCCTAGATGAAACGATCATTTATTTGACCATTCACCTTTTATTTCCAATAATAGATAACATAGCCTATGCCAAAAATAATTTCGAATGGAAACTAAAACTGTAATTTTCACACTGATTATAACAATTTTTACTGTTGCCTGTAGATATGTAAATTCTTTTTGCAATAAACTTTTCCATTACCCCTGAAAAATCTTATTATTTCCAGCTATACCTATATTACCTATCCAACAGACTATTGAAATGTCAGACGTGAGCAGTAAGAAAATTTGTCTGTTGAAAAAATCCCATTTTCTATGGAAAAATCTCGATTCGTGTATCAGGAGAGCAGAAACGAGAAAATTGCATCGTCTATCCAAGATGCAAAATCTCTGAGGAAGCAAAAATCTAATTCTACCCGAATTAGGAGAGTAGAAATAAGGAAAAAAAATGTCGTACAAAATCGCTGATCAGAGTTGAAGAGATGTAAAGTGCATAAAAAATTCAGCCCGAAAAAGGTCAAAAATCGATTTTTTTTTAAATTTAAGGATATAGAGCTGTGCTTTTACTCCGCACTAGGGCATCCCTAAAGGGTCCTAAATACCGAATTTGAAGGCCCTACGACAAAGTTGATTTTTGGGTCTGAAAATGAAAGAAGGTTAACCCCTTTGAACATTTTTCACATATTTCGATGCCTCAGAATTAGCTCAAAACTTGTATACAGGATGTTCTCGACGTGCTGAACACGAAAGTAAAGTCGATTTTCCCGTATCTTCATTAGTTTTCCAGATATTAGTATTTTTAAGAAGACAAAAAGGTCGTTCAAAATCGCAGAAATCGTCTCAACAAACACGATTTCGTCTGCAATATACTTCCTTCAGCTCGATTTTTCATTCATTTGAGAGATGTAGAGTGCATAAAAAATTCAGCCCGAAACGGGTCAAAAATCGACTTTTTTCTAAATTTTAGGATATAGAGCTGTGCTTTCACTCCGCACTAGGGCATCCCTAAAGGGTCCTAAATACCGAATTTGAAGGCTCTACGATAAAGTTGATTTTTGGGTCTGAAAATGAAAGAAGGTTCCTTTGAACATTTTTCACATATTTTGATGCCTCAGAATTAGCTGAAAACTTGTATACAGGATGTTCTCGACGTGCTGAACACGGAAGTGGAGTCGATTTTCCCGTATCTTCATTAGTTTTCCAGATATAAGTATTTTTAAGAAGACAAAAAGGTCGTTCAAAATCGCAGAAATCGTCTCAACAAACACGATTTCGTCTGCAATATACTTCTTTCAGCTCGATTTTTCATTCATTTGAGAGATGTAGAGTGCATAAAAAATTCAGCCCGAAAGGTGTCAAATTCGACTTTTTTCTAAATTTGAGGATATAGAGCTGTGCTTTTACTCCGCACTAGGGCATCCCTAAAGGGTCCTAAATACCGAATTTGAAGGCTCTACGATAAAGTTGATTTTTGGGTCTGAAAATGAAAGAAGGTTAACCCCTTTGAACATTTTTCACAAACTTCGAGGCCTCAGAATGAGCTCAAAACTTGTATACAGGATGTTCTCGACGTGCTGAACACGGAAGTAAAGTCGATTTTTCCGTATCTCTATTAGTTTTCCAGATATGAGCATTTTTAAGAAAACAAAAAGGTCGTTCAAAATCGCAGAAATCGTCTCAACAAACACGATTTCGTCTGCAATATACTTTCTTCAGCTCGATTTCTTATTCATTTGAGAGATGTAGAGTGCATAAAAAATTCAGCCCGAAACGGGTCAAAAATCGATTTTTTTCTAAATTTAAGGATATAGAGCTGTGCTTTCACTCCGCACTAGGGCATCCCTAAAGGGTCCTAAATACCGAATTTGAAGGCTCTACGACAAAGTTGATTTTTGGGTCTGAAAATGAAAGAAGGTTAACCCCTTTGAACATTTTTCACATATTTCGAGGCCTCAGAATGAGCTCAAAACTTGTATACAGGATGTTCTCGACGTGCTGAACACGGAAGTAAAGTCGATTTTTCCGTATCTCTATTAGTTTTCCAGATATGAGCATTTTTAAGAAAACAAAAAGGTCGTTCAAAATCGCAGAAATCGTCTCAACACAACCGATTTCGTCTGCAAATCACTTCCATCAACTCGATTTTGCATCAATTTCAGCCATGTGGGTAGCAAAAAAAATCAGACCGAAAGTGGGTCAAAAATCGAATTTTTTCTAAATTTAAGGATATAGAGCTGTCCTTTTACTCCGCACTAGGGCATCCCTAAAGGGTCCTAAATACCGAATTTGAAAGCCCTACGACAAAGTTGATTTTTGGGTCTGAAAATGAAAGAAGGTTAACCCCTTTGAACATTTTTCACATATTTCGAGGCCTCAGAATGAGCTCAAAACTTGTATACAGGATGTTCTCGACGTGCTGAACACGGAAGTGAAGTCGATTTTTCAGTATCTTTATTAGTTTTCCAGATATAAGCATGTTTAAGAAAACAAAAATGTCGTTCAAAATCGCAGAAATCGTCTCAACACACACGATTTCGTCTGCAATATACTTCCTTCAGCTCTATTGTTCATTCATTTGAGAGATGTAGAGTGCAAATTCAATCCGAAAGGGGGCCAAAAATCGACATTTCACATATTTTGATGCCTCAGAATGAGCGGAATACTTGTATACAGGATGTTCTCCATATGCTGAACAAGAATCTGGGGAGTCCATTTCTTTTTATCTCGTTTGGATGTCGAGATATTTGCATTCAAACATCTAAAAAATGTACAGAAAGATCACTTGCTTTTTTGAAATCGGATTTTGTATTTTTGAGTCAACTCAAGACCTCTTCTCATTTCTGCGCTCCTGATAAGGGAATCTCGCTTCTTGTCTGAGTGTTGTATGACAAGATTTCAAATGTCTGGAGTGAAATGAAAACAATATATCAATCGATTTCAATACTTTTATTTGATTTTTTACAGTGTTTGGTGACATTTTTGGACCTCCCGATATCCGGTAGTCCAGAACTAAGATTTCCACTTGACTACTATTTACAAACTATACATTTTCTATATTTTCTATCAATAATTCCCTTCACCTCTCTACTCAGTACCTACCTACTCAAATAAATTCAGGAAGAATTGGTCACCAAAACAAAAAATTAACAACTCTTGGAATGCAGCCATTGAACTATGGCCTTTTTTAAAAAATCTCTAAAATACTATACAATAACAGCATTTAACGGGGCATTATTTACAAAATAATCCATTCTCAACCAACAAGATACATTCTTACAAAATTAGTGTGTGTGTCTTAATAGTGCAGACCTAAACCAAATCACACAGAACAGGCCAGAAAGCTTATTTCATTACCTTATTATTTTCATCAACAACGACAAGGCTACATATTGTTCAACAATTATTGTACTACTACTTGAACAACAAGTTACTAGTTCATATAGATCCAAAAAGATAATAAAAATACTATTGTCATATAATATAAATTGTGTATATAGGTCGATCGATTTTCTACATCTCATGGACAAAATTCGTTTTCATGTGACTAACGTAAATAAACTACTCAAACGAAGGCACAAAAAAACTGTTGAAAAATGAAATGATCATTTCCATTCAATTCAGCAACAAGAATATGCTGGTTCATTTTCGGAATGAATGGAGTTCAAAAAATAATGATTGTGAAGTATAACTCGATTTATTCAAAACTAGAAGATAAAATCATTTCCTGCAATGTTCAGTTTCTTTAAAAACTAACAGAAATCTCACAGACTGTGTACAAACACCATCAATGCATCTACATACAGGGTTTCCCAAAAGAACCGGAACGGTCGAATATTTCAGCAACGACTTGACATAAAAATATGATATTTGGTATACGGGGGTTATCAATAGTGCCGGATCCGAAAATAATATTTGCAACGATGCCAGATTTACAGTTTTTCCTATGGAGCCCTCAACTTTATTTTTTCAAATGTAATGCTATATATATTTTCGACGCATTCGATTTGTCGTGTTCGAATTACTATGACCCTATAATATCAAATTTCAATTCCACTAATTTTTGTTAATATGGAAATTCAACATTTCGTTAAAAAATATCACCAAATTTCAATATCTCGAGAAATCGTAGCATTTAAACTTCCTTTTTAAATTTTAGTTGATACCATAAAGTTGGGTACATTTTTTCAACTGAATACTGAAATAAACCAAACCCTATTGATTATGTTTGAATCTTGAATCGAGTTTTAGTTCTGAAAATTCGTACGTTATGTACTTTCTTAACTGATAATAACAGAACTTTAATAAATATTGTTAGAATCAAGATGTATAAAGTGGCCTTTGGAAATACCTAATCAACTTTTATTGTTATTGTTGTCAACCATCTGTTTATTATCAAGATAAAATGGTTTTCTTGTCAAGTGAAGAAGTTTAAATAAATACTTTAAGATTTCGTGAAAATAACATGTAAATTTGACAACGTTGTAAATGATATTTTTAGATGAGACTTGCCAACAAATTTCTAATAAATTAATTTTCATTTTCATAACGAAAATTGAAATTTGGTGATATTTTTTAACGAAATGATGAATTGCCATATTAACAAAAATTAGGCGAATTAAAATATGATATTATAGGGTCATAGTAATTTGAACATGACAAATCGAATGCGCTGAAAATATATATAGCATTACATTTGAAAAAATAAAGATGAGAGATCCATAGGAAAAACTGTAAATCTGGCAACGTTGCAAATATTATTTTCAGATCCGGCACTACTGATAACCCCCGTATACCAAATTTCATATTTTTATGTCAAGTCGTTGCTGAAATATTCGACCGTTCCGGTTCTTTTGGGAAACCCTTTATACTTCACAGGTGGAAAGTTGCAAGTAAAGTTATATAATAATATGTAGTTACGGTCCTGTTAAAAATAACAATGAGGCAAAACTCTAAGATAATCGACACATGTAAGGATCTCGTTGTGGTCCAAGGGAAATAGAATAGAACAATATATAGGCAGTTAGGCCCACAGTATCAGACCTGAATGAGACAAGGACTCAGGATGACGTTGAAAATAGAAGCTCAGTTATCACAATAGCCCATCATTCCTGAAACTCCATCTTATCAGGCATAATACTGAGCTATTTAGGGGGAAGGCTTTGATAAACATGAGCGTATAGCTGACCTTGCTAAGCCAGAAATTATTGAATTCGAGCTTAGCAAAACAGCTATGAAGCTAGTTATCAAGAGAAAACAGTTTAGTTCTCGATAATAGTTATGGTTTTGCCTTTAGCATCATCGAATCTATCCATGGTCCGAATGTCCATCATCATGGTGACACCTATGGTCATGATGAGCAGCAAAATGAAGGTCACGAATAGTCCAGACCATATCGGAACTGAGGTGAAGCCGACACAGTCGAAGGCGTCTCCAAATTTGTATGTCGCATTTTCATTCAGTTCTTCGAAGAAAATTTGCAGCTAAAACATACGAAATCAGTTTATTGCGAGTCGGAATCACGCGATCAGGTGTACAGGGTGGCCCAAATTGGGCGATTTTAAAGGAAAAGTCCTATTCCCGTGCAAGATAGAAAAAAACTGATGTCGGTGCCTGTTGATCAATTCACAACAAACTCAAAGGTGAAAACCGCATATATCGATATCTATCTTTATTTCAGAGTTACAAGGTGTTTTTCGAAAATGTGAATTTTTGAAAAGTGGCTAAAACTCTTTTTATTGGCAAAAATTCTTCGTTTTTCTGAAAACATTCCCAAAACATTGATCCTCAGACACTGTAATCAGTCACCATATGCCTAGTTGCAAATGAGAACTTTTCCTTCAAGAAGAACAATTATATTCTTGAACTAGTCATAGGAAGGCCGATTTCAGTGCCGCTAGAACAATTTTCATCACAAATTCAATGCTTAGCAGTTATTTTTATGAGAACAGACAATTTGTGCCAAAAAAATATCGCTAGTCACTTTTCAAAAATGCCCATTTTCGAAAAACACCTTGTAACTCCGAAACGAAGACAGATATCGATATGCGGATTTCACCATTGAGTTTTTCATGAGAATCGATCCTCAGGCACCGACATCAGTTTTCTTCCATCTGGTTCGAGAATAGGACTTTCCCTTTAAAAGTGTCCAAATTTGGCCCCCCTGTACGTGTTCCATATCAGAAATGGGTAAGTATATTTGTCAGAAAAATTATTCGATACTAGCTGTACCCTACGCTACTTACCAAAATACATTTGAAGGAAAGACAGTACAAAAATATTGAATTTATTTATAGCTGACCCGGCAAATGTTGTTTTGCTATGTACATTATTTCTAAAAATATTTTTTCAGTTGAATATTCAACAATAACACACTTTAATTATTTTATTTTTTACTTCTTTTTCTTTAGTTTGTTGAACTACTATTTATTTTATACTTCTTTTTATTTTAGCTATCTATAAAAGCGTATTTCATTAGTTCGACATATTGAATCCGCCATCTTGGATTTCAAGATTTTCAGGAAGGAATCATAATCTTCGGCCCTAAAATCCCCCAGATACCAATTTTGAATAGAATCGGATCATAACTACAAAACTCGTTCGCCATATTGGATCCGCCATCTTGAATTTTTTGATTTTGCCAAAAGAATTATAATCTCCGATCCCAAAAACCCCCATGTACCAATTTTGGATAGAATGGGAACATAATTATTGCAAAACTCGTCCGCCATATTGGATCTGCCATCTTGAATTTTCCAATTTGGACAAAAGAATCATAATCTCCGATCCCAAAAACCCTCATATACCAATTTTGAACAGAATCGGAACATAATTATTACAATTTCGTCCGCCATATTGGGTCCACCATCTTGAATTTTACAATTTTGACAAAAGAATCATAATCTCCGATCCCAAAAACCCTCATATACCAATTTTGAATAGAATCGGAACATAATTATGACAAAACTCGTCCGCCATATTGGATCCACCATCTTGAATTTTCCAATGTTGACAAAAGAATCATAATCTCCGATTCCAAAAAACCCCAGATACCAATTTTTAATAGAATCGGATTATAATTACAAAACTCGTCCGCCATATTGGATCCTCCGTCTTGAATTTCTGATTCTTTTTGCTCTCATAACAACCTTCTCCTGACAATAATCTGACCAATAATGAAGCAGCATGAAAGCTGACGTCACCATTTATTCGACGTATCGCCAAATAGTGGCCATGACGGTATGTTTGAAATGAGCTCCAAAATTCAACAATTTCAAACAATGCATACACTCATTATTTACATAAAAAAGTGTGAGAAGTGTTGCAAACATTAATTTAGGTCCCTAACAACACAGTGAAGTAATTGAAGGCCAATAATTCATTAATGATGGATGGAAGTAAGATATGGTGCGCGTATTCGGCCATTATTACATATTGCAAATTTCAGAAAAATCACTCGACCGCCTACTATGATTTCACTACGTCAGAACGAGCGAGACGTTTATTCTACATTTTCCCGCTAGATGGTGATGCTGCTATTGCTGCTGTGACGAGTGGAAATAAAATGGCAAATGGCATTTTAGGTTCGCGGAACATATGTAACAGTGCGATTATTCAACTCTGAATTCGAAAAATCTGCGACAATTTCAAAACTGACAGATGCCATAATTGTGCAATGTCGCCATCTATTAGAAGATCGACGGAAACATTGCTCTCGCTATTCTCGAGTCTCGAGAGGTCGAGTGAAATTTCTGAAACAAAAGCGCATCAGTCATTACACCATATCCTACTTCCATCAATATTTCATTATAAATCCACTCGCCCATTGATCAGCTTTCAAAGGAATTGCCAAACATTGGGCTACATAACATTATTTTTTCTTGCAAGAGGGTGCTAAAATTAGAGGAACTCCACTTACATTGTCCATTCCTTCATCAAATTACCTTTTCATCAATGTGCCTTACGCCTTACTACTTTCCCTATTCAAATTTTATTGGTCAGCCAAGTGTAGGGAAGGGGAATTACATAGGACAGTGAGGGTCAGATAAAAATGTGTCATATTTGAAATTCAAAATCATCACACTTTCATTTCATACCTGGAAATCCTTAATGAAGACAGTGAAATTGTCATTTGTAAAGACCTGATCCCCACAATGATAGGAGAAACCATTGAGAGCATACAAGGGGGCACTGGAGGAAATGTTCAATTTCACAATTTCAGTTTTATTAGTTAGTGTCACCTTCACAGGATCAACTAGTTCCCAATATCCAGCACTTGAGCCATTGGTGAAGTTCAGCCTGAAAAATACACAACATTTGAGATAAACCATTCTTTTCAATTTATTTCATCACTTACTCAAGCTGAACTTGAGGGATCAGAGTTGTATTGGTCAGAGTCAGAATTATCGACTCATTGCTAAGCTTCTGAATCTTATAGTTGAAGGTAGCATTTGTGGCACTGCAAATAAACATCAATCATCAATTTTCAAAGAAAAAAAACGTTTCATATGTCAGGTGTTCCTGAAAATTATACTCACTTTAAATCTCTGTCAAATGTCACTTGTGAATAGTTTTGATACATATAAATGTTAGATGTGTTGAAGAAATTTGGTGAAGGCAGTTCAGTATCATTTGCAGCTAGAAGTGATCTGGCATGTCTTGAGCTGATAACTTCTTCAGGAGCCACCTAAAATTGTTGAGTTGGAAAAATATGAGCACAATAGTAGAAATCATTTACCCAAGATGTGTGACGAGCAGTATAAAAGGCTAAAACATTCTTGGTCCTAGTAAGTTTCCTGAACATTGTATTTATAAGAGCATCTGAAAATAAACATAAATGATTCATGATCCAATATGAATATGCAATTGTGAGCAAATGAAAATTTTCTTGAAAGATTTTTACCATGCCGTCTCAACATATCAGGTCTGGTCTCTGAGTCCTTGACATCATTGAGGTTGACAATGAGAACATCAGTTTCTGGAATTTCCAAGTTTTCCCCTAAGCTGTCAACTTGAACTTCTGTGACTACTACATCCAAATGTCTTATGGCCTTTATAGGATTTTGTACATATGGCAGATAGGCTGCTTTGTAAAACTCTCCAAGCTTAGCCATGTTGGGAAATAGAATACCTTTTTGGTCACGTTGAGCAAAATCTTCAGGGCTCAACTGAAAAGTGTGTTCAAGTTGTAGATGCAAATGTATAACTACCATATATGAATGAAAATTTGAGAATATGGATTCAAGAGTACAATTCTGTAGTGAATTTTAAACAGATAACAGATTGATTTTTATGACAATTAATCAAAAATGAGGCAATAGGCATTTATCTGTCACAAAGAAAATAAATGTACCAGGAGAAAGTTTCCATGGTTCTGAGATTTTATCATTATTCAGAATGTTGTTCTAAAATTTTCATGAAACTTTCTGATGATTATTTGGCTTTCTTTCATCTGCAGTGGAATTTTGAAATAGGTTATAAGTCAATTTTTTCATCTTCCATGGGAAGAAAATATTCAAAAGGAAAATTGGGACATTAGTGTTAGGTTCAATTGATAGATATTCCAAAAGAAGATAATGATAGTTTTTTTTTCTCTTGGAGCACAGGAGAGGAAATTCCTATAATGTTCCAAGAACATCATGTGAACTCAATTGTTTGGTAGTATACATAACATGTCCAATATTCAATCAAAGTACTTGTGTATGCATTATTTCAAGGGAAAATTGTTACCCATCAGAAGAGACTAAAAGACATGCAAACTCAGACTAGTTTTAAGCTATTCTTACCGTTTGTTCAACAAATAACACCATCAATGGATGGTCTGTTGTCATTCTCTCCATAATATCATCTCTGAAAGTGTCTTGACTGATTTTGGGGAGTGCTGGAACTTTTTCAGCAGTCCTGCAAAAAGGAGATTAGTTATGTATTATATGATTCACTTTTTAGAATAATTAGTTTTGAAAGTGAGAAGTTCTGCCAGTTTATCTTGACAAAATATAGTCCTTCCCTAGATCATGAGAGGACTGATGATCATATGACTACTAAAATCAGACAAAATCAAATTTTGGTAATTTCTGGTAGATCTACAGATTTCAGGAGACAAAATGTTGAGAGAACCCAGATGAGGGGTGGCTAGAAGGTGTGGTAACGGAAGAAGAACAACAAAATACTGCAATATTTGCAAAAATATGTAAACCCTACCTTTTATTGGACAGCATATACACCGGGACGAACTCTGTGCTGTGTGCGAATTCGGCGATGAAAACTAAGCACACAAATACTAAAAACTGTTTAAAACTACTCATTTTGAATGAACTATTGTCTCTGTTTGTAAAATCACAAGAATTTGAAAAAATCACGTGAAATTACGGAGCAACCCAACATTTGACAACCCAACTCAATGCTCAAGAAATCAAACTGTCAGTGTCAGATGACTGGGCGATGTCAAAAAGGATAATACCAACTTTTTCATTAGAAATTTCGTGCCGACATCTATCAAGTAGTCAGCAAAAGCAGAAAAGAAATCTGTAATAATTGTGTGTTACAGTGATAAACTAGAAATCTGTGTTTTTTTTAACTCAATTTTTAAAGACGCAGCACCATTCTTCCTATTATACCTTTTCGTTGAAAATTTCGTGACGATATCTATCAACTAGTTAACAAAATCAGGTTAGGAATCTGGAATATCCATTTTCACAGCCGCAGTACCATCCTACCAACCTTCTCGTTGTGAATTTTGTGGCGACATCTATCAAGTAGTCTACAAAAGCAGAGTAGAAGTCTGTAATAATTGTGTGTTGCAGGGATAAATTAGAAATCTGTATCTTGGGAATCTGTAACAACCATTTTTACAGACGCAGCCACAGAACAAAGATAAAGACTAATTATAGAGGGCACAGCGATAGGTATCGCGTTACAGTGACTGTTGCTGCAAGGTCGGTAAAACTGATCGCATTCAACTGTTTCAACCTAAAATAAGATGTCGCTGTTGTGTTGAATTCTTAGATCAATGATCTATGGTTGAATCATGTTGAATTCAACCGAATTAGGTACGTGATAAATTTGACACCCTTTTATCCACATTTATTTCAATATTTAATATCTACAGAAAATGTACATAGAGTTATAATACAATTTTAATAATATATAATAGTGTAGATACAAACAACATAAATAAATATTTATATTACAATAATAATTGAGTTTACATATATATCAACATTAAACAAATTTCTCACTTAATTAGGTCGAGTTGGGGATTTAGAGGAGGGGAACAACAATAATCTTACTGATTTCGATCTACCACCAACTATATATCCATTGACTAAAAAAATTGTGGACAATGTCTTTGAACCAGATTTTTTCTAGTTTTTGATTTTTCTTGAGGATTTCATAAACCCCATATATTTAATTTCATCCTGCAGATCCCCATTTTCACCATTCATGGAGAAAGATATGTCCTAAAAAAATCACATATATGTACCCAGACAGCACTGGATATTCCTAGGATATTCTCTAAAAATATAAAAAAAAATGAATATATTCCGAATGTCCTCCGAATATCCCTAAGGAAAATATACATGCTCTGGAACATCCAAGGAATAATATTCCGATAATATGATATACATGGAATATATTCGAGGTAATATTCAGGAATGAATATTCTGTTGATTGTATATTCTTGAAATATTCCATCAATATTTTCATGATTTTCAATGAAATAGTACCTATAGCATAAAACACAATCACTATTTTAGAGATGTGAGTGTCAAACATTTATTTAAATATGTAACGAGAGATTTTGGAACCAAAATGGTGTTTATGTTCCGATTCTGAAGAGGAACATTCCTAGAATATATTCTATAGAGATCTCTTGGACAAATTCTATGAATATCTGAGCCATATACATTTGCACATTCAGATAATAATATTCCACAGATATTCTAGAATATCGCAGATTATTCGTAGAATATTCCAATATTTCAAAAAGAATTTGATAGTGACATTCGTGGAATACTTGGTGCTGTCTGGGCCACTCATTTGGGTTCCCGAAATATCTTTTTACAGCCATATGGCACTGAAACATTGAGAAACAAAAGCTGCCTGTATCACTGAAATTTGATTTTCAATAGAAAATTGAGCTGAAAAAGTGAATGAATGTTATAAAATATTTTCATGATTTTTCACATAAAAATTATTCGAAAAAACGAGGGCTCCTTAAAATGAAATTTCCCTCCCCCCACAAGATGGTATTTTCAACGAAGCAAGAATAATTCAAAAATTCGATCCACAGGGTCGTATCAAACAGGCTGGGATTGGGTAAAATAATTTCCCGGCTTGTAGCTGCTTGTAGATGGTGAATAAGATGTGATTTTGAAAGTGTTTCGCTAAAAATACCATCTTCAGGGACCCACAGTGTTGGGCCAGTTTTATGTGTTTCTCAGCTATTTTCAGTCGTAGAAGCCGCTATAGTGAGATTCGGTAGACCAAGTTTGGTACAGTCTGCATATTATTTTGAAAATGAGGGACTGCGATGGTAGGTATCTGATGGTGATTTCAGGAAGTATCATGAATAGGGTATTTTTCCCTATGTTGTAGATGGCAGATCGGTAAAACTGCGAATCATGCGATGTTTTTATTTCGAAATTTTTTTTTGTACTTACGTATTTTTGTCTGAGAAACACGAATTTGATAATAAAAATGTGAACAAACCATTATATATTGAGATATTTCACTATAAAGTTCCAAATTTCACCTTCTTTTCCGTCTGTCTTCTGGATCGCATTTAGAACAATTTGCCCTTCTTTTTTCATCATTGGACAATTTATATACAGGGTGTTATTTAAGTACGTGGCCAAACTTGAAGGGGTGATTCTTTGAGTGATTCTAAGACGAAAAGTTCATATAAACATAGGTCCAGTAATGCTTCGTTTTCAAGATACAGGGTGTCAAAATTTTTAAAAGAAATCGTTTTTTTCGTAAATATCTTGATAATCCTTCAACCGATTTTATTGAAATATGGCAGTGTTATTCGAGGTCGTAAAGGGCTAATTTAACCCTAACTATATCAAAACTATCATGTCCAGTGGCGTCCCGGAAGGCACTGTAACCAATATTTTTGACAGAAAAAATGTGCGCCACTGATTTTTCTGCAATTTTTGTATTTGTTCCACATTGAGCAACTGAAATTACAACTTTTTTATATCTAGAATTTTTTTCGTATCTTGCTTTGTTTTTGAGAAAAAACATAAAAATCACTTCATGGCACGTCCCTGGCAAGATACGAAAAAAATTCTAGAAATAAAAAAGTTGTAATTTTAGTTGCTCAATGTGAAACAAATACAAATATTGCAAAAACATCAGTGGCGCACATTTTTTCTGTCAAAAATATTGGTTACAGTGCCTTCCGGGACGCCACTGGACATGATAATTTTGATATAGTTCGGGTTAAATTAGCCCTTTACAACCTTGAATAACACTGCCAAATTTCAATGAAATCGGTTGAAGGGTTATTAAGATATTTACGAAAATAACGATTTCTTTTAAAAATTTTGACACCCTGTATCTTGAAAACGAAGCATTATCGGACCTATGTTTATATGAACTTTTCGTCTTAGAATCACTCAAAGAATCACCCCTTCAAGTTTGGCCACGTACCTAAATAACACCCTGTATATCACAATGTATAACAGATTTTATTCCATTATATGAATCAACTAGAAATATGATTCTCTTGTGATTTATCCATATTTAGTGAAAAGAAAGTAGAATATCATTTGAAATAATGGCTTGTGTAATGTCATTCAACAGCAATCTATTGACATTTGACATCTCGTATTTGGATTGACTATTGATTAAATGGCCGTCATCTGGTATGCTTGTTCACTAAATATGGGAAACTCGCCATGAAAATCATATTTTCTGTTGAATTTTCTTTATAATGTGTCATTGTAGTACATAATGAGTATATAAAGTGTCCAATGACAAAATAAGAAGAGCAAGTAGCTGTAAATGCAATCAAGACAGGCGGAAAAAGGAGGCGAAATTTCGAACTTTTTCTTGAAATATCTCGATAAATAGTGGTTTGTTCACATTGTCATTATCAAATTCGTGCTTCATAGACAAAAATACGTTAGTACAAAAAAAAAAAAATTTCGAATGATAAATGCAGTTTTACCGGCAGATCTTTTGGATTAGATAGTTGAATTGATAATATACGTTGGTTTAGCTAAGCTAAATTTATAATAAATTAGTGCATTTTATAATGAGTACGGTGCTCGAACGTCAACGTTCAAATATTCCATCGTGTTCAAATACAGAAATGAAGCGAACATCGAATTATCGAATTATAAACATCTCGCCTTGCCGACGTCGCCATTATTGGAATAAATGTGTCGATGTTGATTTTTCTCGATTCCAATTCTCGAAGAACTTTTACATGAATATGCGACGCAAATCCGATGGAGACGTTATCATGCTGCATTGTGGACACACTTTTTTGCTACCCTGAAACATAAAAACAAACATGAAACCGTCAGGGTAACACCACAGTACAGAGTGATTGTTGAAATTTTACTCAATAGCTATCTCAGTTAAGGCAGAAACGTTCAAATAGGCAAAAGTAGAGTATTTTTTATGGGCATGCAGAATCTAGTAGAGGTACTACACTGAGAAAAACTGGTTAATTAAAACGTCTAGTTGGTATTTTTTTAGTACCGATAATTAAAAATATTTGGAATTTTATTAACAATGACAACGTATCCTTATTTCCTACAAATGACTTTTCTATTTTTCGCCAATTATTTGTCATCAATAAAAATACTATTTGTGGCAGAATTGTTACAGTGTTGTCTATTCAGTCAATTAAAATTTCATATTGGGGTTAAAAAACCTCATTCTGGGGTTACTAACAACATCTGACTATTTGCCACAACTGATGACACATTCATCGTAAAAGGTTTATTATTATCCATAGCAGAAATTGTTTAGCCATAACTAATAATTTTAGTTGTACTGCGTCGTTCGGGACCGCCTCGCGTCTCTTCGGGGCAAAAATTGCATCTTGCATCTGTTTGTCTTTCTGTTTCATCATTTGAAATTGTACCTCAATAGTGGATAGATCGCACGGTCGTCGAGCTTAGACAAAATAAACAAAATAATTGTCTAGTGTCTAGTGTCTAGCCGGGAGCGTCGTGTTCTTGCTGGTTCACTGCTGTGTGTGTTTTCAAATCACTGTTTTTTGTTTTTTTGCACTTCGCGCTGAGCCATTTGGCATTTGGTTGGCAAAATAATAATTCGCAGTTTACCATCGTTATCTGTGCGTCACTAGTTATCAGGTTTAGGTACCTATTCACAATTCAGTTCAGTTTACGGTGAGAAACGTCCAACCGACGTCACGTGTACACGGTGTATATTTATAATTCCCTCTCTTTTTGCTAAGCTGTGGCCTGTGGCACTCACGGTGTGTGGTGTATTCCTGTTCACGATTCCATTGGAAATTGGAAGGAAAATGGCATGCAAACTGTTATTATCAGAATGGGACCTTGATTTTAATTGATATAAAACTACTAAATTATATTTCAAACGTTACTAAATCACTTTTAATAGTAACTAGGTTCAATTTCAGTCACAATTAAATATTTAATTTGCAACAACACACTCACTATTGACGTCAGAAGAAATGAGTAATTGCCCCAACTGGGATAATTTGTTGTGATAACAAACATATATTGAAACAGTACTAACAATCTAATTGTCATAACTATGTATCTTGATTGCGGCAAATAAAACTTGGTATTATTCCTTAAAAAGGCTTATTAGTTATCACAACAACGCCGTAGATGACTCAACTAAACTTTTCATTTGAGGCAAATAGGCGCTTCCAGAAAAACAGAATTAGTTATGGCAACAACTGATGCTTGCTGTCCCCTATCGTACTAAAAAATTTTTCTGTAGTTACTAATTTTTTAGTAACGGCTACAAATTTTTTCCCTCAGTGTAGAAAATGCCAAAAAGCATCGTTCACCTCAAAAATTTACATGAACTGGTATTTTTCAAATGGAAAACCCTTTTTTCTGAAGCTCTTTCTTCTGATTTCAAGTATACACTTCTGTGAGAAATCAACGCCAAACGTTCAGGAAACATTTTCGTCGAAAGTCGAAACATTTCTTTTTTGGATTCACTCCATTATCTTTCCTATTACTCGAGAAACACCAATTATAGCGTAACATGATTTTTTGGAAAGTAAATATCCAATTTAAATAACGAATTGAAATTATTTCGAAATGAATATATTACATGGAACATCGATCGGAAATCACGTGATAGGTTTCCACACTCACCAACGTATGAAGCCAACATTCCTCGCAATGCACATGCCAACACACCGTCGATATAACCGGTTTTTTGTAGTGCTCCTGCAAAAACACAAAAAAAAACCCGTGACCTAACAATCAATCGCCAAACGGTCAACAAATGAACAATGATGGGAATATGAGTAGATATTTCCATTCATTATTCCAAATTTTTTGGGATTTTCTCTCCTCGTTTCTGTAAAATAAAAATATGAATATTATTTCAATATACGTGTAGTAAGGACAAATCAGATGATTTGCCCCAGAATGTCACTGCGTTCAAAGAATTTTCCAATCAGAGCCTGAAAAAAATTCACTAGCTTGTCAGTGACAATTTGTATTGAAAAAAGTTTGGAGAAGAGAAATAAAGGTTCATAAAAAGTATCAAATTTTCACTTATCTTTGGACGTTCCGGGACCGAATCTGCTCCCATTTTCAACATAAGAAATGATTATTTCAATAGCAAAGTCGTATCTGTCTTGAAGCTTTTCAGTTTTCATTGACAATTGGTGACGTTGGCAATCAAATGAGTTACAGGATGTTTTCATTAATTAATCTTGAATTTACCATTTTCTTGTTCAGATTTCAGTAGTGAATACCATGTTCTGTCTATTTTAACTGAACAAGAAGCAATGCTATTGTCTCCGTTCAGAAGAATGCAAGCAGATTCCTTGATTTTTCTCTTCTGGTTGTTATCTTCTTTCCAATGATCTAGCAAAGGATCTAGTTTCGATTTATTGATGTGGCTTTTCTTTATATTGTACTTATGTTCCTTCTTCCTTACTGAAAGAGGTCTCTCGGTTTCACCGGTATAAAACTTTCCACAAACACAAGGTATACTGTAAATACAATTTTTTTACTATTGTTCTTCATTTTTCGGCATTGTTTGAGTAGAATTGATCTCATTATATTTTCAGTTTTGAACACAGTTTTCAATTGAAATTTATCACCATCACGTTTTATTTTTTCAGATATGCCGGGAATGTATGGTATTATATTTGTCGTTATTGATGGTTGATTTTGTTGTGGTTGACCCTGTTTGTTTTCAATTTGATGAATCGTCCTATCGACAAAATTCTTTGGATAGGAATTGAGTTGGAGAACATTTTTAATGTGGTGGACTTCGTTATTGAAAATTTGTTGGCCAGATGATATTGATTTGGCTCTATCATGGAGTGATTTGATTATAATACTTTTCTGATGATTTGATTGAAAGTTCAAGTATCTGTTAGTATTAGTCTTTTGGAAAAGAAGATAATCAGAAGAGAAAAATCATGGAATCTGCTTGCTTTCTTCTGAACGCAGACAATAGCATTGCATCCTTTTCAGTTGATATAGATAGAACATGGTATTCACTACTGAAATCTGAAAATGAAAATTGAAAATTCAAGATTAATTAATGAAAACATCCTGTAACTCATTTGATTGCCAACGTCACCAATTGTCAATGAAAACTGAAAAGCTCCAAGACAGATACGACTTTGCTATTGAAATAATCATTTCTTATATTGAAAACGGGAGCAGAAACGGTCCCGAAACGTCCAAAGATAAGTGAAAATTTGATATTTTTTCTATATACCTTTATTTCTCTTCTCCAAACTTTTTTCAATACAAATTGTCACTGACAAGCTAGTGAATTTTTCTTTCAGGCTCTCTGATAGGAAAATTCTGTAAACGCAGTGACATTTTGGGGCAAATCATCTGATTCTTCAGCTATCCATGAAGAATTCAACTTTCCTTTTGGGGGATTGGCTTTTTCCCTTCCTCTCAACTTCATTTCCCATGAATAATTAATTATGTTGTAAACATAAGTTTTTCGCCTTCACGATGTTTTAAAGTATTTTTCCACATACACTTTGTTGCTAATTTGACTGAAGATGGCCATTTGAATGGCCGAAACATGTATCAAACCTTACTGAAGCAGGATTGACTGCCTCCTTTGACATTAAAATTGTGGAGACGACTTTGAGTTTTCTTTCTTGATCATTCCACTCCACTTTGAGTATGGACTACTACAGAAGATTATTCATATTTTTATTTTATAGAAACGAGGAGAGAAAATCCCGAAAAATATGGAATAATGAATGTACCACCTCCTCGATTAACCTACAGACAGTATTTAGATATTTCCATCATCACTACAAAAAACCTCACCAAGCAAATCAGACATTTGTAGTCCTCGCCGCCGTCCCCGCCACCACCCCCCTCCGGCCCCCCGCCGCCCTCCGCCTCCAGGCGGCGGATCCTGTTCCGGAGCTCCTCGATCAGGTGCGTCCTGCTGCTCGGCTCCGCGTCCGACGTGCTCACGTTGCTGTCGCACTGGTGCTGCCCCCTGCCCCCGCCGCCCCCACTCTCCACCTTCACCTCCACGTCGCCGCTGGAATTCACCGTGGCCACCTGAAGAAGAAGAAGAAATTTCTTCATCGTTCATAACACGTAATTTTTTCTCTGTTCGGACTCATGAATGCAAGATTTGCAATTGATTTGCAGTTTCAAGCTTAGTTGCAAAATCGATTTGTCAATTATTACAGCTTAAGTTGCAAGAATATAATATAATTGTATCATTGATCTTGCAATCGAGTTCAATCTGAAGTAAATATAATCTGTGAATAAAATGCTAATCGCAGAAATAACAACATTCATTCTCCAACAATGCTCTTATTTACCAAATCAATCTTAAATGAGATTCGCTAATTATGAGATCAGTTGATATTTATTGCAAGATTTGCAATTGATTTGCAGTTTTAAGCTTAGTTGCAAAATTGATGAGTCAATTATTACAGCTTAAGCTGCAAGAATATATAATTGTATCATTAATCTTTCAATCGCGTTCAATCTCAAGTAGGTATATATAGTCTGTGAATAAATAAAACAACAATAACAACATGAATTCGCCAACCAAGCTCTTATTCACCAAATCGATCTTTAATGAGATTCGCTAATTATGAGATCGAGATCAGTTCATATTTATTGCAAGATTTGCAATTGATTTGCAGTTTTAAGCATAGTTGCAATATTGATGTGTCAATCATTACAGCTAAGTTGCAAGAATATATAATTGTATCATCAATTTTGCAATCGCGTTCAATCTCAAGTAGATATAGTCTGTGAATAAAGTGCTATAATCGCAGAAATAACAACATGAATTCGCCAATCAAGCTCTATTTACCAAATCAATCTCAAATGAGATTCGCTAATTATGACATCAGTTGATGTTTATTGCAAGATTTGCAATTGTTATTCAATTGATTTGCATTTGAGCTCAGTTGTGAAATTGATCTGTCAAGTACATCCTAAGCTATTGCAACTTGTGATGAACCATCATGAAATTGATATTAAATGCGAAATTCATCATGCAATATTGTGATTGAATGCAAGATTCATTATGCAATACAGATTAATTGCCAAGAATTGCAAAAGTAATCTTGCAATTGAGTCAAATCTCAAGTAGATGTAATCTGTGAATAAAGTACAAATTGCAATATTCATTTGCCAATCAAGCTCTAATTTGCAAAGTTGCTCTTTGAATTGACGCTTTATTGAGTTGATTCCGAATTACAAGATTCATGATGCAATTGATATTAAATGCAAGATTCATATTGCAATTGAGATTAATTTAAGAATCGATATGTCAATTGCGCCTCAATTGCAAAAATGTATCCACTAGTTGAGCTCTGATCGCAACATTTTTCAATTTTCAATTCTAAGTAGGTACCTATATAAATAGTTCTAATTGCAAAACTTGCAACTTTCATCAGTCTATTTTGCAAGATCAATCTTGAATCGTTCTGGAAATGAAACATTCATCAGGCAATTTCTATGATAGCAACATTATTCTTGCAATTACCCTAACTGCAAGATCATTTTGTCGATTGTTCCATTTGCAATATTGATCTTCCAATGAAAGCTTAATTGACCGTTCAATCTTACAATGAAGTTGACCAATTACACCAATCGACTTTCTTTCTATGTTTTATCTCTTAATTGCAAGATTAAACTTTCAAGATTGAACTTACAAGATTGAACTTGCGAGATTAAACTTGCAATAAAAGCGTATAATTGACAGATCAATCATTCAAACATTATAAAAATCTTTTTTGCCAATCAAGTAAGTTGACAAACCTTCATCTTGATCGTTTGCAAGATGAATTTCGCAATTATAATTATGGAAGTAATAAAAAAAATCCTATTTCACTCACCTGTGACTGCACCCCCTCCTTATCTTTGTTACTCTCCTTCATGACGACGTCATTCTCGGTATATTGGGACGGCCCGAAGGTGCTCTCTTCCGGCTCGTCCCCGTCCACTATGACGTCATCGCCTTCGTTATCTATCTCGGTCGTCCTGCCGGTGCTGCTGGGTACAGTCAGCCCCCCTACCAACGAATTAGTGCGACGCCTCTGCGATTCGTGCCATTCCTCCAATTCCGAGTCGCCTTCCACGTCGACTGTTTCGTCTTCTTCCGTCAAAGCATTCTGGGAAAATGATAGAAACATATTCAGTCCGTGTTGGTTTCTGAACTGCTAAAAACTGTACTTGCACATAATATGTACAGGGTGTTTCTTAAGTACGTGTAGAAAATTCAGGAGCATGTTGCTGATGTCAAAATAAGAAGAAGAAAAGTTCGTATGAATATATGTCTGAAAGTAATTCGTTTCTGAGATACAGAGTGTCAAAGTTGAATTTTTATTTTTTGTTAATGAATTCCAAAATAATTGTGATATTCGAAAAAAGTTCGATATCTAGGGGTATTTTTCAATGACAACATCAAATTTTATGTCAGTTTATCACTTTCGTGGGGGTGGCGCCACCTACATATCTTTCGAGTCTTTTGAAAAGTCATAACTTTTTTGTGCGTACCTGTATCACGTTTTATATGGACAATTTTCCCTGTTAACCTGACGAGTATGCACTGATGATGACTTAACAGTCGAAAGCGCTTTGCTACGAATTTTTTTTTTTTTATCGCTTGGAGCGCACGAAAGGGAATCCCTATAATGTTCAAAGAACATCGTGCGTTCCTAGGGAGGATAGGGACAGGAGGTAGGTATTAGAATTTTTTTTGAACTTTTGGAGATTATATGTTGTTGGGAATACTTCCACAGGCAATGAATTCCAGAGCCTAGCCGTTCTATGGATGAAGGAGTCTTGATAAAGTGCTGTTCGACATCTTTCGAGGTTGACAACGAAAGGATGTGCTGACTGAGCTTGTCTAGTTCGTCTGATTGGTATTGCTAGTGAAGGGATGATAGCAGAGATTTCCGAAGAACATTTCCCGTGGAAGTATCGATAGAAAAGTGAAAGGTCGCCGACCTTTCTACGGTGTTCCAATGATGTCAAAGAGTGAGTGAGTGTGGCGTCACCCACCAGGCGAATGGCTCTTCTCTGGATGGAATCTAAGAGCATCAGTGTATGTTTTGGTGCTGAACCCCATATGTGGGAACAGTATTCTAGAACAGGCCGTATTTGCGCTTTGTAGATCATGAGAAGCTGTTGAGGTGTAAAGTAGCTTTTCGCACGGAACAAGAATCCGAGTTTTTGTGAAGCAGCTTTTGCGATGGATCTGACATGATTATCCCATGAAAGAGTGTTGCTGATAATGAAAGAGTGTTGCTGATGAAAGAGTGTTGCTGATGAAAGAGTGTTGCTGATAGAAAGAGTGTTGCTGATAATTGAATATATTTTCTTGCACGAAATACAAATCATCCCTTCTTTGATATATATATACACGTGCACACAGCCCAGCAACCCTCACTAAAAAAAGTTATGACTTTTCAAGAGACTCAAAAGACATGTAGGCAGCACCACCCCCACGAAAGAGACAAACCAACGTAAAATTTGAGAGTATCATTGAAAAATACTCCTAGATACCAAACTTCATTGGAATATCACAATTATTTCGAAATTTATTAACAAAAATCAAAAATAAGGATTCAACTTTGACACTCTGTATCTCAAAAACGAAGAACTTTCGGACTTTTCTTCTTATTTTGACGTCAGCAACATGCTCCTAAATTTTCTACACGTACTTAAGGAACACCCTATATGCATATTTTTTTTTACCTTTCGAACACATCTCTCTACGTGCATGTTTATTTCCTCTTGTGTCCTGTGAGGGTGACCGGTGCATATGGGACAAAAATCGTCTGATTTTCTTTTGCGGATTTTGATCCTCAGTCGGCCATGTCGATTGTTTTTTATCCTTTGAAATGTCTACACAAAAAAATAAGAACTACATGATACGAAATAATTTACTCAAACAGAATCAGAGATGCAAGTTTGATGCAAGTCAGAATTCTGTGCAAGTTACAAATCTTGGTTGTAAGTCAGCATTCTGATTTTCCATTTATAATCCTAAGTTTTGAGTCATAATTCTCAGATGTACCTACCTATAAAAATTATATGTATATGTCAGAATTATTCTGACTTGTATTTCTGAATTTTATATCGTATGTAGGATTTCTACTTGAAAATTGAAATAAGTATATCATAAATTCGACTTATTGTATATCAGAATTATGGCGCATCATGCAATTCAGATACAGGGTGATCAGAATTCTGAATCTTAATTGAACCACCCTGCAAATGTTCCAATTAAATTTCAGTAGATAGTAAATCAAAAGTTGAGATAGGGACATGAAAGCCGTTCTAACCAATAATGAATGGTTTCGTCACAAAAAAATCCTAAAGTTGAAAAATCTCGATTTTGAACACCCTATATCTATGTAATCATTCCCGCTAAACCCCAAGTGTGATGCATTGATTGAATCAGCTCTTCAGGGAGAATTTAAAAATACAATGAATAATAGGGTGTTCCATTTGAAAAAATCAAATAGTACCCTGTAGATCGGTTGTTCCGAGCACCCTGTATTTTCTGATGTATAGCGGAAAAAAACTTTATCGATAATCATTTAAGATGATATTTCGGAATCGGTTCAAAAATAACTGAGCTGAGTTTTCCGTCCTCTATAGAGCTCCCGAAAAAATGCCCAGGGCCGGATCCGACTCACCTCCCATCTCCCTTCGGGCCCGCTGTCCCCGGGCAGGGCCGGCGGCCGTCCAGGATCGGGCCTGCTCCTCTTCCTGCTGGCCGCGATGCCTGTCCCGCTCAGCTTGTACAGCCTCTCTAATTCGTGCATGAAATGCGATTCCATATCTCCCAAGGGAACGTTGAGGCCGCATATTGGACAGCTCGATGGATCGCGCTTCTTTTTGTTCGACACGAAATCTGAGAGGAAAAGTGGAGATAGAAATGGGCGAAGTAACATTTCAACAGGAATATTCTCAGATAAAATTATGAACAAAAAAAATGGATATACTTATACAGTGTGTCTCATTTCAAACGGCTCCCCCTCTATATCTCAGCTATCAGTCGTGCGATCTTTACCAAATTTGTATCGGTATGAATAATCATCAATATGACCAGTTCTTCAGAGACAAACATAATTTTAGACAGTGCCGTGCATTTTTATTGAAATTAATAGGGGTCAGTTTTTTATTAAATCATATTAGGCATTTTTCCACAGGAAAACTGACCTCATGATATTATTCTTCATGGTTTCAAAATCACATATGTGGATTTTCATAAGATGCCTATGAAGGGTTTCAGAAAAACAGGCACATATAAACAGCATCTTCGCGAACGTTATAATTATTTATTCGGAAACGGTGAGTTCAATATAAAAAAGTATAACCCCTTTTTCCTTCCAAATCATGATTTTCCACCTAACGGAGATGGAACTGAGTCAGATGATTCATTACTGGATGTATTAATTAAAGAATCATTTCCTTGTGATAAAGGCAATTTCAGTGGCCGGGAATTGTGCAACACGATAAAAATGTTTATTGTTCGTAATGGCCCGTCTCAACCAGATCTCTTTTCTTTTAATCTACATTCCTATTGTTTGTTAACTTTTAAGAAACATTTTATTTATACATGTACTTTGTGCTGACCTGTCCTATAGCTTTATAAGCTCGTATTTGGATCAATAAAACTATCTATCTATCAGATATAAATTTTCCAAAAGAAGAGTTTCTCTAATTTTCATTATTCACAGGGGCAAATTATTCCAAGAAAATGGTTGTGTTTTTCACCCACAGAAAATGAAGCGTATTGTGAAGCTTGTTGGTTATTCAATATAACTAATAGTTCCTAGAAAGAAGGGACTTCTGAAAGGTTTGTCTCGAGGGGGCCCTAAATGATTTTGGCGGGGGGGGGGGGGCAAAATATGAAGTTACGCAACTGTTTCGGAGAAACCATTTCCGAGATCCCCATGGTAGACATCCTTATCTTGGATGCGGATACAAATCAATCTTTTTCATTGAATGACGAAATGCCCAAATGATATAGGGTGAAGAAAGAGTGTATTTTGCGGGCTATTCAGAAGATGATCTCGTTCGGTATGGAATCGAAGACGTGCCAGCATATTTTCGGTCGTTTCCCCAATCGGAGGTGTAAATTCCAGCGCGGCTCGTGATGACTTAAGCTCGCTTCATCCCCTTTTAGCCGGTGCTGATTTACGTTTGGGGTACACACGGGCATGGGTCTAGTCGAGCAATTAACAAGGTTAGCCCGGCTAATCCCATGAATGATGTCCGCTGCTGACGGATCCCCAGCATCGCGCGGATAATGCCTCGCGATATACCTACACTTCGGCCAAGGAATAGGAGAACAGGGTAATTACTTTCCTTGCCTTATTCTGCGCTTCCCATTCTTCAATCACTTTGGCTCATCAGCCCCTCACAAAAATAATCAGAACTAATTTTCACTCTATCGACTCAATCGACTGAGAGCTAGTGGGTGGAGGGTATATGTGCATCGATCTTTCGATAAGAAAAGATCGATAACTATCCAACAGAGCCGTGACTATACCGGTATGAATGAATTAATTTATTTCAATTTATAGATATACATCCTAATATTCACAATATTATGATTGTAGAGACAATGATTCAGGTACTTATGCAAAAATAATATCAATCTAGGTATGTACCTACATATCTATCCTATCTTATGACATTTGATTTGATAGAGGCAGTTAGCTTTGATTTAAACTGACGAAGATTTGTGACATTTTTCACTTCATGTGGTAACTTATTTTATTGATGTAAACCTTTATACAGTGATATTTTCATTGAGTTTGATAAGTTACACCTTGGCAAGTGTTTCATAATCATGTGTACTATTTCGATAAATTATAAATTCCTTAAAGTAAGTTGGTAGCATATTATTAATAATCTTAAAAATGAATATCATTGATGTTCGGTGAAGTCTATCTTTTATCGATAACCAACTCAAGGTATCAAGCATGAAAGAGATACTACTAGAACGATCAGATCTAAGAATCACCCTCATGCCTCGGTTCTGCAGTTTTTGTAATGGTATAATTTTATTCTGGTCACAACCATAAAGCAGAGTGCTACAATGATCAAAATGTGGTTGTATAATAATTATAAATGGCGATCTTAGCAGCAGTTGACAGATGAGTAGATATTCGTGTGAAAAAGTAAAGTTTATTTGCTATTTTTTTCGACATATATACAGTATACGGACCACGAACCATTGGGGGCCACCGCTGGCCAACGTGAAAAAATAAAAATTTGTAAAATATTGATTTGTCTGCTGTTTCATCTTTCTTCACTCTCGTTCCTGTATTTACTTGAGCCTTCTTTCAACCCTCAAGAATGTAATCGCATGACGCATTCTATCATTATGAAGTGACGAGAAGTGATGAATATAGTAACGTTATTAGTCAACAAGACGGTATAAGCTGTGAACACAGATTAACAAACCCTATGTGACCGTAGGTTCTCTAAACAATCTAACCTAACTCGACCCAAATGAACTTTTTTTCTAGAAAGTATATTTTTCGGACAATTACTTGAGGAACAAACAAAAAAAGAGATGACCAACGCAGAGATTGAACCCGGGTCCTCAGTAGTAGCAATCCGGAATACTTACAACTCGTACGCAAACTTTCGTCTCTGGCTCAAATTTCTATTGCGAACATAAAATCGCAAAAAAACATAAAACATCACAAATAATTAACATTTTTTCGAATTGGGAAGTGAGAAAGAAGAGGTTTGAATAAATACATCAAGGATATGTTATAGAAACCTGATTCAATATGAACTTTTTTTCTTGAAACGACCTTGTTAGGAAATATCCTGTATTTTTTTTATATGGATGAATCGAACCATTTACCAGAAAAATCGATCAGCCGATAGAGGAACACAAAATAAGTGCATTCACCATAATTTAAAAAGGTAGTGAATACGAAGGGCGTGATTTTTTTCACTGAAATCTGATTTTTTCGAGATTGATTGATTCACAATTCACAACGATGCAAATTCCTGACTCAGCACCATAGGTAATGGCAACAACCTTGAAAGAGTACTTTGTGTGAGGTCGTCGAAGGATTACAATACTGAAATTTAAAATTTTGGTGAAGGCACTTATTTTGGGTTCCTCCGTCAATCAAATTAATTTTCAAACATCTGCACCTGCTTTGTACAGAAATGATAAGAACATCTGAATGCAGTACGAAAACTAAATTCCAAATGTCAACTCTGTCACGTGTACTGAGCACGGAAGAAAAATACCAGCAAAGTTGAAATCCCCCTATACATTCAGCTAGCTAGATGAGGGGCAATATATTACTCCTCAAGAGATATTTCATGTGAATATAACCGTACATACATATAAGTGATGTTGTTTGGATTTTATGTGCTTTCAAAAATTCTTGCGAAGAAAAATAAAACTTGAGAAAGTATAAAAAAATATGAGGACCTATCGCAAAAAAAATATTATTTATATATCGGTAGTTACACAGTGTTTTCAGGGTGTAAACATGCATTAAAAATTCAAATGACAGAGAGGATGCGGGTTGTTTTACAAGGGGCGAGCTTCGGGACACATAAGTATGAGAAAATGGGAACATGTGAGTGTGAAAAACAGTTATGGCAAATGGTCCGCACTCCATTGCTTTCCGCAGAACCCGCAAACCGCTCAGTTAACTGTGGAAAAACCGGAAAACTCTATCATCCAACTTTATGTCGAGATATTCGCTATGGATTTATTCTAATACCACCCATATACATAAGTATGGTCCATTTTTTCCTACATCGCAAACATGAGGGGTGTTTTCGACGAGAAATTCGACACGTAAGTATTCATTGTCTATTCCCATTTATTTTTCCAAATCCTCCAATTCGAATACTGACGATATAGACCAGGAGATGGTGACAGGTGACGGTCTCCCAATTTATAATGCATGCCTTCTTAAAGCTTCATAATTAACCTGAAAATATTGAAAATAGACGGGTTCCTGACCGCCGCATGTGTGCACTTCACAAGGAAAAGCGCTTTTCTTTTTGCGAAGAATTTTCATGTGTTTCCGCGATATTATACTGCCTGCCCTTGTAATATACGGAGGTTCAAACAAACAGATGCGCTAATAATTGATGGCATGGCCGAAAGGACTCAAAAGGATTACGAAAAACAAAGGGGACTTCCGGTGTTTTCAAATTGCATGACTATTAGTGCTAGCGGTACACCAGAAATATCAGAAAAGAACCGCATTTTGTATAGAAAGCAAGCCACTTTGTACACTTGACCTCAATACCCAAATGAACGATTTGACCCATTTTTTCGGGCGTGTGGGGTAGATTTTTAGGGGGTAGGGGGGTTAATTCAACGGTAGTTTGAAAAAAAAAAATAAGAAACAAAGCTACAGGAGTAATCCTATTGTAAATTGCCCTAACGGATCAGATGGTGAAATCTTTTCAGCTCCCGGATAATCGGAAATGTCTCAAAGAACCGCCATTTTGGAAATTGGCGGCCGATATGGTGATTGGCATGCTTGCATTATTCTAGCCGTGTGAGGTATGGATTTACATGTTTTAGAGGTCTCTGAATATGGATTTACCAAAGAAATTATCCCGAGGTGACTTTTAGAAAAAAATTATGCACGAAGTGGGGTGTGAAAAGGTACGAGTATTGTAAAAATCACATTATATAAATCTATAGGCGCTATCGAATAGAAGTTTCTTACCAAAATAGTCTTCTTGACGATATATGATGCATTTTATAATCAAATGCATAACCTGAATAGTAAAATAGCCGCCATTTTGTATAATGGCTGCCAGAATATTC